ATGGATGGCAAAGAAGCGCTGGAGAGTTCTGAAGTGGCCAGCAATGAGCCCAGATCTAAATCCCATTGAACACCTGTGGAGAGATCTTAAAATTGCTGTTGGGAAAAGGTGTCCTTCCAATAAGAGAGACCTGGAGCTGTTTGCAAAGGAAGAGTGGTCCAAAATTCCGGGTGAGAGGTGTCAGAAGCTTATTGATGGTTATAGGAAGCGACTGATTTCAGTTATGTTTTCCAAAGGGTGTGCAACCAAATATTAAGTTAAGGGTGCCAATACTTTTGTCCAGCCCATTTTTGGGGTTTTGTGTGACATTATGTCATATTTGCTTTTCTGCCTCTGTTTTATATTGTTCCAATACATACAAAGGAATAAACATGTGTATAGCAAAACGTGTTAATGCAATACCTTTTTTGTGTGAAATACTTGATTTTCAGGAAAAATATCAAGGGTGCCAACAATTTCGGCCATGACTGTATATATGCACCTTATATGTATATCCTTAATGGTGGGGTCATTGGGATCTGGTCTAGGGCTACAGGGTCATCAGGCTCAGTAGTGGACACTCAAGATGATGGCTCACACTCGGGGGTTTCACTCCGCTCACAGACTCATCAAGCAGCAATAGAATACTGGCTCCACGCTCCCAAAATGGCTCCAGCTTATGAGGCTCGCAGTAATCAAGCCAAAGGACAAAAATGGTTCTGATAGTGTAGTATGTTTATTAAGGTATGAAATAAATCCAGGTAAAAAGCAGAAACTCCTGTCCCTGCCACCTTCCGCTCGCGGTAGTCCACGCACGCGAATAATGGGAATTTGACGTGGCTGCGTGTGCGCACGTTGCACCGCATGATGCGGCTAGTGACGTGTTCGCGCATGCTGCCTTTCTTCCATGTGGCGCGCGCACAACTTACCATATATATACCTGCCGTTTTCTGGGGGACTTCACCCCTTTGACAAAGTGCTTGTTGCACGAAACGCATCAGTGAAGCCCTCCAGATTGACGCCTAGACCTAGATGGCCACAAGGAAGGCCACTCAATATCTCATGTGAGTTTCTGCTTTTTACCTGGATTTATTTCATACCTTAATAAACATACTACACTATCAGAACCATTTTTGTACTTTGGCTTGATTACTCCGAGCCTCATAAGCTGGAGCCATTTTGGGAGCGTGGAGCCAGTATTCTATTGCTGCTTGATGAGTCTGTGAGCGGAGTGAGACCCCCGAGTGTGAGCCATCATCTTGAGTGTCCACTACTGAGCCTGATGACCTTGTAGCCCTAGACTAGATCCCAATGACCCCACCATTAAGGATATACATATAAAGTGCATATTATATGTACTTCTAGTAAGTGCATCACTTTACGAGATTCTGGCACCAATATTGAAAGTTACGAAGCACGGATTACCATACTTTATGGACATCACTATGTTTGGACTCACTATCACTGTTATGGGATTATAGTCATGCCATTCATAGATGTGATCTCACCGCACTAACTTTTGCGCTTATGCCAGCGCTTCCTTATCTTCTATGGTTTATACTTTGACTTATTTAGGATACATGCTTTTTAGCACTGCATATTTATTTATAATTGGTTAACTATATTCTTCTTTCACTCCTGCAGCCCTTTAACCTTCAATCAATGCCTGTAATGGGGAGAAACGCATCTGTCTAAAGCTGACCATAGATACATTTGGCCGGTTCAGCAAGGACCAGACAAATTTCGATCCATCTATGGCCATTTCTGCCAGAAAGAAGTCTGTCTAACAATTGGCGTCTCTCAATCAGGAATGTTGGAGATTTCTCATTCGATCAGCGCTGCAGCCAGTTTTGCTGCTGATCAGAGAAGGTTTTCCTGCAGTCCTGATTGACAGAAGCCAGTCTAATGATTGGGAGGGCTACACACAGAAATTCATCCAGTCCTTTGCTGAAATGGATGAATTGCTGTTGTTTACCTCTGATAAGCCTGCACCAGAAGTGTGTACAGAACCAATCCCACTGTGCTTGAAAGCTCTGAACAGATCAGATCATGCCTGCAAATCCAACCACCTCTTTTAGCCTATGGCCAGCTTTAGTCATATACATATGAACTGACCATTGCTTAAGTGATCAATAAGTAATAGTGCTTTCAGTATTCAGAACAGACACCGTGGATATAACATTTCTGTGACTCATGGTTCTGGGAAAATCCTATCCAAGTATGTTTGTGGGGGTTGTGGTAGAAAATCCATGGAAACAAAGAAGAGCATGCAAGATCTATGCAGATAGTATCTCTGGTGGGATTTTATCCCTGGGTTTCGGTTCAGTAAGACAAGCGTTCTTAATCCACTGTGCCGGATCCATCTATTGGCTGCAAATTTAGCAACCTGTAAACAGCAATGTATTAGTGATTTACTTTATTTAAAATAAAAGCTATATTCCAGTCCAGTTATGTGAGAATATATCTTTTATGTCCTGCATCCACATGAAAGTTGTTCATGTTGTGTTTTGTGTAAGTAGATACAGGCTTTACAGTGCACATTTATAAAGCACAGGCTGTTGTGTATACAGCCGATTAGTAAGTCTTGTGGCTAACAGTGCATGCTGGGAATTGCTAATTAAGGATGTCCGGCAGAGACTCAACTCTCCTCCCTCCTCTCTGGCAAAGCATTACATCCTGTCTATCCGCAGAGCTATCCAGAACATTCTGCTTCTGCTCAACTCCCCTTCTCTCGCGCGCTCTCTCTCTCCCTTTTATACCTCTGAACTGCACAGAATTGCACAACATCAATGCATAGTCTAGAAAAGGCATTATCCGCTTAAGCATGTCAAATTTCTGTAAATTAATTATGCTGTATTTACAGCAATCTTAACTGACCTGGTCATTCCCTGTTGTGCAAAGAATTCTCTGTATGGCTGTGTGTGCATTTATTATTCTTGTAGTTATGATAAATATTATTATTATGCAGGATTTATATAGCGCCAACAGTTTGCTCAGCACTTTACAATATAAAGGGGGACAGTACAATTACAATACCGTTCAATACAGAAAGAATAGGAGAGCCCTGCTTATGGAGCTTACAATGTAAATATTTTACACTTAAATAGCTTCCACCGCAAAAGTATGAACATAAATCCTGTGTGCTAACATATATTTACAGCTTCATGTGTGAGTGTGGCCTTGTACACTTTGATACCCAATTCAGTACAGTATACTTCATAACAACCTGTTACCATTAAGCATCCTTTCTTTTAGAGCAGGGGTATTGAATTAAAATTCACAGAGATCCGGTCAGTAAACGTTTCTTCCAGTGGAGGTCTACATCTCATGTTTGTACTATGACTCAGATCCTTCCCATTACAGCCTCTTTCACATCACAGTTCCCACCCCCTTTAGGGCCTGATTACCCTAACCCTCATGGGCTTATGGACATCACAGTCCCCCCTTTATATCACAGATCTCTCTTCCCATCAGAGCCCTCAGTCTCCCCCTTTACATCACAGTCCCCCTTTTATATCATAGACTCTCCTTCACATCAAAGTCCACCCCCCCCCCTTTACATCAGCGCCCTCACCCCCCCCCCTTCACATCACAGTTCCCCCATCCTAACAACACAGATCTCCCTTTACTGCCCCCCTTACATCACAGCTTCCTCTGTACAACACGGACCACCTCTTCACATCACAGTCCCTCCCCTTTACATCACACTCTCCCCCTCCCTTTTTATCACAGACTGTTGTCTCTTTTCTCAAAGTCCTCCCGTCATATCAAAGTCCCATTTGCCTCTTTCATCACAGTCCTCCCTCCCCACAAACCCTGCCTCTTATATCACAGTTCTCTGTTCATATCACAGTTCCCTTCACATCACAGCACCCCACCCCCTTCACTGTCCTACCTTACACAGCAAGGCATAGGGTGGGAGGCACGGAAGGTATAGTTTGAGGGCAGGAGCTGCCCACCTTTTTATGTTAAAGGCAGGTGAATGGTGGCTTGGGCCCCATGTCCTAGCAACCAGTCACTTGCTTGTTACCTTGAAAAGTCCTGCCCTCCATCCAAAGAAAGTGCATAGAAGTGTAACCAAACTGATAAGATACTAACCTGTTATAGGTAAAGTTGATCCAGGAAATATCCGATTGCCTCTTGGGGGATGAGGAAGGGTTTTTTTTCCCCTTCAGGAGCAAATTGGATCATGCTTTGCTGGGTTTTTTTTTTGCCTTCCTCTGGATCAACTGTGGGTATAGGAATATAACATTTATTTTTATTTTTTTTTATGGTTTGCACTAGATGGATTATTTTTTTTTCAGCCAGACTAACTATGTAACCTGCTGAGCCTCCCGTCTTCTGCCCTGCCTTGAAGCTGTGGTCACATCTCCCCTCCTCCTCCACAAAATTTATACTATCTACATTTTTTTTTTTAAACAAACTGCAATCACAGTAGAAGTGCATCTTCTTAGGCCAGCCATAAATGGTTCAAATCTCGGTCGGTGCAGCAGGAACTGTCCGAGATTCAAACTGTGGACAGGCTGAATGTACCAAGTTGATTAATCAACCAGCAGGTACAACCAGCCAGATTAACTTGCAATATTTGCTAGCAGCTGCTATAGCCGCTAACAATAATCACTCCCAGTGGGGATGGCTTCTCCTGCTGGGAGAAGACAATTGCTTAGCAGGAGGGATTCCCCTGTGAGCATTGTCTGTGTTGATGGGGGAATTGAGCGAATTTGAGTGAAAGAAATTTGCACCGTTTATGGCGGTCTTAGTTTTTTTTTTTGTCTATGGATCACTCAGTTTTGTAAAACAAGATCACAAAAAGCTGTTTTTGACATAAAAAAGTTATATATGTTGCTTTTGTTATCTTAAATAATAACACAATTATTAAACAGGCCCATAACACAAATGTGAATTTTGCTTTGGTGTACAGGTGTGAGAACTGAACTGGGTAAAAAGACTATTTTGTATATTTAGTCTTTTTTTAATGGATCATTGTATTTAACAACCTATCTATTTATATCTCTTTCTTTTTAGAATGCCTCTCGTAGCACGTTGTATTGAGCCGCGCTATTTGTGCCGAGAGAAGATTCCCAATGTTCGCAGTGAACTGGAATGTATGACCAACATCACGCTATCTAATGTCATCAGGCAGCTGGGAAGTTTGAGTAAGTGACAATTGGAGGAAAGAATTCGGGGCAAAATCATTTTTCCAGGAACAATGCTTAACTGGTACACTTAATGCTTTGTAAAGTTGATGGATGTTAGAAATTCAACAATATAGTTAAATACAGTGCTGAATGAGAAAAAATGATGGATAATGGTAGTTGTCTATGTCTGTTTTAAATGCATTGAGATACAAACTGTGGCATGTCGACAACCACAGAAAACAACAGTTTCTGATGATCGCAGCATTCCTGTAAAAGTTGGCAATACCCTGTAATGTAGCTTTTTAAACTTTCTAGAATTTTTTTTTTTTTTTTTTAAGAATTTGCCAACAAGGAGTTTTTTTTTTTATATTGGGAAACTCAAAGCTCAATTCCAGACCTGAAACCCTGATCCCCCTTGGAGCACCTTCAGTATCAAAAACTTTACATTTATATTTTTATCCAGGTGTCTTTAGTTGTGTTGTATCACAGGTCCTCTTCAGCTGCTTTTTTTTCTCTGGCAGCGGGTGAATCCTAAATGCTGCAGAGAGCAGCACTTACATAATAACGCTTTGTACAGCATTCTCCTGTGGGGGACAGAACCTTGATGCCCTGGGCATAAAGGAAATTTATGCCAATAAATCCGTAAGAAGAATGGCACAGTATCAATGTATTGTTGAGTCTGCCAGGCAGAGCTGCTTTTTAATTTTATTAAAGCTGCTGGGGAGTGATATTTACAGTTATTGTTCAAACAAAAGTTGGGCTTTAATGAAAATTGTATTGTAAGTGTATTAACCGCTTCAACAAACACTATAGGACCTACTCGTGCATCCTCTAGTTGAAGCGGGGGCATTGAGTTCATGGCTGCAGCTACAACCATGAACCACATACCAATGTTTTCAGCTGGTGATGCTGAACACTGTAAAAGCCATCTGAGCAGATAAATAGCCCCTGAATTACTTTTACAGGGGGCAGAAGGGGGTCCTCCCTACCACCTTCTGCTGGCTTCATGGGCTCTCCCATTTTGCTGGGGAGCCCGAGACTGCTGCTGACTGACCATAGAGATGATCAAGGATTTAAACTTCCATGGGCATCTCTATGGTCTAAGAAACCGGAAGCGATGAGTAATTTGTCCTTTCCAGTTTCGGCTTTGTGTTTTCTGGCTGGTTACCGGACAGTGAAGCAGCCGATCAGACTAATCTGTGTCTGATCGGCTAATTTGGAGGCCAGAGGAGAGATCAGGGGTCTAGTAGACCACAGATCTCTCCATAAAGGGGACCTGTCATGGCCCATGATATCACAAGGGATGTTGTTCACCCCTTCTGATAGCAATAAAGTTGATTTTAAACTTATTTTTTTTTTATTTAAATTGAAAGCACTTCCTCCCCCCCAATACTCATGGGCAAAGGTGAATGCATACATAGGTCACGCACGCATATGTAAACTGTGTTTGCACCATACATGTGAAGTGTCGCCGCGAACGTTATAGCAAGAGCAATAATTCTAGCACCAGATCTCCTGTGTTTCTCTAAACTGGTAACCAGTAAAGATTTTAAAGTGTCACCTATGAAGATTTTTAAATACTGTAGTTTGCCACCATTCCATGAGTGTGCAATTTTAACCACTTTCCCTCCTGAGGATTTACCCCCCTTCCTGATCAGGCCATTTTTTGCTTTATGGCACTGCATTACTTTAACTGACAATTGCGCGGTCATGCAAAGCTGCACTCAAAATGTATGTCTTTTTTTTTCCCCACAAATTGAGCATTCTTTCAGTGGTATTTGATCGCCTGTGTGTTTTTTATTTTTTGCGTTCTAAAAAAAAAACAAAGACCGTCTATTTTGAGAAAAAATAATATATTTTTTTACATTTTGTTATTAAACATGTCCAGTAAAAAAAATTTTAAAAATCAAATTTCGTCATAAATTTAGGCCCCCTACCAGGAAATGCAAAATCACGTATATATACGTGATTTTGCGCACCTGTGCCACCCTGTAGCAGTATTTCTGCTATAGGGCGGTAGGGAAGCAGTTAAAACGTGACATTAGGTATATATTTGCTCGGCTTAACATCATCTTTTTATATTTATATCGCGTTTTTGTGTATCTGGTCACCAGATGAAAACAAATGCAAGAAAGCATAAAAAGGAAACTAATATAGCCATCACATCTAAGAATTGGTAAGCTGCAAAATAATAGACGTTTGCTTTTGGATTTGATCCCGCTAGGTGGAGTTAACCTTTAATCTTTTTGTTGGCAATGATGCGTCTAATGCATCATGGCGTTGAAAGGGTTAACAAAAATTGTTCAGAAGCCTCCTGGCTGTAACGGTCCTGGGCCTCTCCTGGGAGCCAAGGACCAACGCAGATTGTTCAGGATGGCTAGCGGAGGAGGATGGAGGATTGTGATATTCTATTCTCCAATTCCACCCTCTGGATTGGAACCAGAAAACTCTCTGCTCTGAGCAGTTCTGGATTCAAAACTTTCAAACCCTGGAAGCTGGGTCTGGTGAAGGAAGCAGATTGAGCACTATTTTTGCTCAGTCTGCTAGAGTCTGGATATCTTATTAACCGCTTTACCTCCGCCCCATAGCAGAAATACTGCTACAGGGTGGCAGCTGTGCACAAAATTGTGTGTGTGTGTGTGTGTGTGTGTGTGTGTGTATATATATATATATATATATATGTGTGTGTGTGTGTGTGATTTTATATAGTTCCAGTTCCTGGTAGGGGGCGCGCGTGCGAGGTGCGTTGTCAATCACCAGATCCTAGCCGGTGATTGCTGAGAATCTCTGAAGGGGGGAGAACTGTTCGTAATCAAAACAGTTCTCCTCCCTGTCAGCTCCTGCACGCTGCTTTGCACGGCTGTGCATAGCACAGCCGTGCAAAGCAGTGTGCTTACAGTGAAGCACAAACACAGAACATGATGTAAAACGGCACACAGTTAACCCTTTGATTGCCCCTGATGTTAACCCCTTCATGCCCAGTGCCATTAGTACAGTGTCAGTGCTTTTTATTAGCACTGATCGCAGTATTGGTGTCACTGGGGATGTCAGTGACAGTCCGTTCCCCCCCAGTGTCAGAATGCCTGCATCAGTCCTGCTATAAGTCGCTGAAATTCCAGTATATATACCGCCATTTGTAGACAATATAACTTTCACGTAAACCAATTGATTTACACGTATTGGGAGTTTTTTTTTTTTTAGCAAAGACATGTAGCAGAATGCATTTTGACATAAATTTATGACTAAATTTGATTTTTTTTTTTTTTTACTGGACATGTTTAATAGCAAAAAGTCAAAAATATTGTTTGTTTTTATTTATAGTACAAAAAATTGGGGAAAAAAGGGCGTAAATTTCATTTGGGTGCAGCATTGCATGACCGTGGAATTGTCAGTTAAAGTAATGCAGCGCCGTAACGCAAAAAAATGGCCTGGTCAGGAAGGGGGGTAAATCCTCTGGAGGGCAAGTGGTTAAAGAAAACTTGTCATTTGCCAGATGCTATCACACTAAGGGATTTGCAACCCCCCCATGATTGCAGTTACATAGAATAGAAAATAATTTAAATGTTTTAAAGTGGTAAGCTCTGAAATAAAAACAAAAAATGGACCCCTGCCTCCATATGCATTGCACATAAGCACGCATGTGTACACATAGGAAGCACAGTCTTATGTAAACAGTGATTGGATAAGAAATTTCAGGTATTGCCACGCACTCCAAAGTGAGTGAAATTATTCTAGGGTGATGTATTGTAATCTTTATACTGATGACCTGTAAAGGTTTTTAAAGTGTCAGCTATGAAGAACTTTGAGTTTCATAGTTTTTATACAGTTTCACAAGCACACACAATTTTTAAAGCCCAACATGTACAGTATCTAACTGATGCATTTCGGTCTTATTTTACCCATAAATGGGAATTACAGTTTTTGTTTGTGTGCACTAAAATTAATTCTATTGCATTTTTTGCTGAAAATATAGGTTTGAAAACAGTTGCACAAATATTGTGCAACATAAAAATTTGCAGCTATCATCTTTTTTTATTCTAGGTTCTCTGCTTCAGAAAATATATTTTGATGGGCTTCAGGCCTAAAATGCTTGTTTTAATGTGTGTGAAAAAAATTTGAAAATTGCTTTGGTAGCAAAGGGGTTAATTAAAATGTGCATAGAAAAAAAAAGTAAAAGCCCCCTGCTCCCAAGTACAGGCATATGCAAACCTATGCACTGGGTCACATGCCAGATGCTATAAAAAAAAAACAATTGCACCACACATAGCAACACACACCGAAGTGAATGCAATAATTCTAGGGCTATTATTCATTATTAACTCTAAATTGATAAAAGGAGTTTAAAGTTTTGCCTATGAAAAGATTTGGGTAGCATAGTTTTTAGGGCACACGCAGTTTTGATGCTTGACATATTTGCTTTCCATATTTCTTAATGCAACCTCATCTTTTCAATTTGACCAAAATATTGGTTATTTTTTGTGTACACGTAGAATAATTTGAGTGCAGGCATGCCAGGATTGTGATCTGAGCAGACATTCTGCTGGAGCTTATTCTGTTTTTTCCCTCTACCATGACTTTTCAGCCTCTCAAACTAATGGCTCTTACTCTGGATGCCTCACGAACCTTCTAGGAGTCCTAAAGGGGGTAAAAAAATGTGTTTTCTCTCCCTCTCACTGAAGTTCTGTCTAGTCTGGAAGTACACATTGCGGGAAGCCCTGGGACCATTTACAATAATGGCCTCTCAGACTGACCCTGTGGATGGGACAAACTCTCTGGCGTCTCATTTGTCGAATGTAATGGTGTCTATTACTGTTTGCCAGGCAGCATTGACCTGTAAGATTGATGCTGTGCAATTGGATGTTGGTCTGATCCGCCGAGATTTGGATAAAATCCATTTTTGGCTTACTACTGCAGAACAGTTCATCAGCCATACTGAAAACTGAACACACTAAATCTCTACCTCACAAACGAAGCTTAGAGCCCTGGAATACAGAGCTGAGGAAGGAGAGAACCGCAAT